TTTTTCTGGTGAGGTGGCAAGTTGGTTAACCACCACTGAATGAGCACTGTGCCAATTTCTAAACCAATACCAACTCAACAGAGCCATCCTACCAGCTATGTTCCGTGGCACCATGGAAATCTCGATCGCTTTTGGTTCGGTCAGATTAGTCCACAACATGATAGAATGCTGTTTGTGGCGTCGTGTCATGGGGCTGAACGCATTGCAATTACTGGCCCAACACGCGCTGCATGACCCCTGCATGTCACCCTCAAAGGTGTAATGGAGTCGGGCATACAAAATCCTTTACTGAGGACTGGTTTGGGTAACAAGACCCATCTCTGCCCGGCTCACAGCCGGGTATGGCGTGACTCCCTGCCCAGCACACCGCCGGGTATGGCGTGACTCCTTGCTCGGCACATCGCCGGGTATGGCGTGACTCCTTGCTCAGCACACCGCCGGACCGCCGGGTATGGCGTGACTCCCTCCCAGCACACCGCCGGGTGTGGCGTGACGCCTTGCTCGGCACACCGCCGGGTGTAGCGTGACTCCTTCCCAGCACACCGCCGGGTATGGCGTGACTCCTTGCTCAGCACACGGCCGGACCGCTGGGTATGGCGTGACTCCTCGCTCAGCACACCGCCGGGTATGGCGTGACTCCCTCCCAGCACACCGCCGGGTATGGCGTGACTCCCTCCCAGCACACTGCCGGGTATGGCGAGACTCCTTCCCAGCACACCGCCGGGTGTGGCGTGACTCCCTGCCCAGCACGCCGCCGGTCACCAGCGGACGGTCGGGCATGGCGTGTCAGGGGGCTGGCGGCGCCGGAACTGCGCCCGGTTCGGACCGTGATTTATCTCGGCCGCCCGGGGCGGGCCGCTGGAGCCGGCCGTCGGAACTTGTCCCGGTCACGCTAGCCGCCCGGCGGCCAGCTGCCAGGCCGGCGGCGGCGGCCAGCGGCGGCAGGCCCACTGCCGGGTATGTCGTCTGCACGGCATTGAGCCGGCCGGCTGCTGCCTGTGATGGCTTTCACATCAGTCTTAAGACTTCAGTAGACGAGCCACGGAACGCTGGCCAACGCTCAGACGCGGCCTTGAGGGTGAAGATGATCGCTGCTTGTACGCCACGGTGGCTGTGAGTTATCAGCTGTTTTCCAGGATGTGTTATGACCTCAGAGCTAGGCGAAACACGATCCAATGCGAACACGGGCGATGACGTGACATGCAGATCAGTGGGCTCCGGTCCATGCGGATGCTTTGGGGCTGAGCTACGCCTGCTTTTTCATATAACATCGACCGCAGCTGTTGTTAATGTGTGGCAGTGACGCTTGCCGCGAAGAAATCATAATTAAATTTAGCAAGCAGAAATTTATCATTCAGCGCACAATTGTGTGCAATTGACCACGTTCCTCGTCTCAACCTGGAACAGGGTACTACCTCAAATTTCAATGCAAAGTCAGATAATAAAGAGATAGATCCAACACCTGTTCGGCTGATCCAGTTTTCAAGATCAGGCGGACTTTGCAATTACAAAAACGCTTCAACCCCAACAACAGAGACGACGGAAGTATTGCGGCTTCCGCACCGGTTCCTGCTGCCCAAGGCGTCGCTGTCATATGGCCTAAGGAGACGCGACAACGCTAGCAGCGCTATGAAGCGCTGAAATCCCACCGCCACCTTCTATTAACACGCGCTCGGGTGGGGGTCAAATTGACCCCCCAAAGGTTTTTCCGGAATGGTTTCCGAACGGCGCGGCGTAGCCGCGCCAAAATTTGAAGATGAAGAGCTGTAACAATTAAACAGCCGGTTGTCTGGCATCAACAGTTTATATGTTCTATGTAAGGTCGCTGGCTTATGGCAGGTCAAAGTCAGGCCACGGTTTCAGCAAATGCAATTTCTAGGGAATCGCTCAATCTGATCCACAAGGGAGTGTTAAACGGAGCCATACATCTCTAAGATACTTTCTTAGGCAACAAAACAGTTATATGAACAAATTACAGTGGCCTAGGGTCAGATATGAGGTCAGACCAAGGTCAAAACCAACCAGTTTTATCACTCTAGGGCTTGCTGTATGAGGGAATTTTTGGTGCTCATTTCGAATTTATTGATAACAGGTACCGCATTATACACCTTCCGTGGACTTCTTAGAGGTCAGGAGAAGTCACTGGTTGCAATAGACCACACTTAAAATGTCCCAGGTCAACGTGTTGTTTTATGAACATACTGCCTAGCGTTATCTTTGCCGCTTATTCAAATGCAAAACTCAAAGCAGTCTCGTATGATTTTGATCACCATGCCTTCAAAAGGTCAAACAGGGTCACTGACCTTAAATGGGCATGTGACTTTTTCCTTAGAACTGTTATCTAGGCTCTGGGGATCTTTGGAGACCAACCTGGAGTTTGACCTTGTTTGACCTTATTTGACCCAAACGTCATAACCTAGGAACCTCATACTTTGACCCAAGTAATTTCACGTACAGGTCAACACACCCTGTGAATTTAGTATCTCTAGCTTCCTTAGTTTCTGAGATCTAAGGAAGTTCAAGTTGACCTCCACCCATGCGAAGGGTATCCAACCGGCCACCCGGGCGCGCGTCAAAGCCAATGCACTTGGTACATACGCTAGCCTGATTCATCAGTAGCTGCCGAAAAGAGATGCTGTGTAAACTGAGAGCTCATAACGTGGTTGTATATACATTTGCGTGACCAAAAATAATCCCATGTCCTTCCTAAGCTTTTTGATGTTTGAGCGCCAGGAGTTCTTAAACTTGTGTGACGGAGCGGTCAATAATACGCACGTGAAGCCTAGTCCTGTGCTTAGAAAGGTAATGCGGAAAACCATTTAGATTATGTCGTTGCTTTCTGAGCATTATTGACCATATGGATGTGAGCAGGGCGTTCTTGACGTGGGTGCACCTATCCCGACACCCTGGTATGAACAATGGAACTCATTTGAAATGAGTTGGTTTATGCTAGCATACCGGTCTAGAGACAGAGAAGCCGTGGCTAATGTTACAGATACGAACATCTGCACTGGCTGATGAGACCGCCCTTGTATACATTATGGCCACGCCACGACGGCATGTCCGGAACAGCAAACACGGCCATCACTGACGGCAGTGAGCCGCGCTGGGTTTGGGGCGCCGCAGCACCGAGCCCGCGAGCTGGCCCTCGTGCAGCTGCAGCTTGCAGTGCCGTACTTTTTTTTACAATACCGTACTTTTAGAATTAATCAGTGCAAGCCAGCGTTCACTATTTTGTTCGAATCAAGAGGTCAAAATACCGCAGTGATGGAGTGGTTCCGCTGAAACATGATCCTGAGTGTTCGAAAGTCCCGCGAAGCTGAGCACAAGTCCGAGTCTGGGTCTGCGTCCGAGTCTTCCACATTCTCACATAACCAAACAAAGATGTTAATTTAGGGCAAGGTTTAATATCACACACCGTCCTATACGGCACAAAGATGAGGGACACAATTTCGTAGTGGGTGGCTGCATATCGCCGATCATATAACTTCTGGTAATAACTTAAAGGAGCCTCCACATTACTTTAATCTAGAAATCGAGCAGGAATGTTTTGTCGCGTCGGATCGGGAATTGCCGTCAACATCATGTGCCAATGCCCCTATAAAGTTTGAATGGACGGATCTAAGTCTTCGCACTAGAGCCCAGGCCAATAAACCGTCACCGAACACGACAGAGCTTACCAAAAAACGACCAAAATAACTTGACTTACTACCTCACGCGATCCAATGTTGCCGCAAAGACCAGGACATACCCCCGCACCAAGGTCTTTCTTTTAAAACATGTGCTTTGTTTGCACATCTGTACCAATGTTTTAGTGTCCCATCGTTGAATGTTCCGTAAGAGCGCAACCTTAATTCAAGTACCATGCTTTATACAGTTTAATGCGACTTCCAGTCCTGAGCTCGGATTCGTGTCCAAGTTCAATTCTTAGTGTACTAATTTCGAGGACAGTGAACCGGTGAAACGTAGCATGCATTTGCTTTACGTCTCCAGCAAGGCTCCGTGTCATGCAAGGAGTATGGGTTTGTTTATCGTTGGTTCCTTATTTTCAGAAAAAAAACTAATATGACATTTAACACAGGATGGGATTCGTTCGTAAAGCAAATCGGTTCACTTTCACCTCCATTCAATTCAGTCATAGTCCTGAAGCGCCCGAGCTCGAACCCAAGTGCGACTGGACTTGATCCCTGCCTGGCACTATACCCAGCTTCCCAGCAGGGGATCACGGGGCTGATGGCTCCATCAGCACCTCCTACATGGTGTATCAAAACATAGGTAACCAAGGTGCAATTTTCTAACATTGGTTGGAAGGCTGGACCAATAAAATTGTCATCACCTGCCCCAAGACTCCGGCTTCGTCCTGGATTTTGACTTCTGTGATTTGCGACCCTACTGTCAAGATTAAAAGAGAAAATGCTTAGAATCGATTAGTTCAAAAACTGTTTTGGTATTGTGGAAACGCTTCCCCTTTGGTGCTGATGTGATAGTGAAGATGATATGAAGATCATATCGATGGTGACGCATTTAAATAAGTTTAAATTAAGTTACCAGCAGTCCAGACACTTCCTAAATTTCATATGCGCAGTATTCTCACTTTTCTCAAATGCATTGGGAGACTTGGACGAGCACTGAGGGAGGGGGGGGGGGGGGCGCTTAAGTCAGCAATGGGGAGCTCAGCCCCTCCCCGAAAGTACATAAAAACATATTTCGAGGTTCTTGCCTCAAAGCTGACTTGATCGCGCTTTTGCCGAAACGTATTGGCGATCCAAAGCCTATTGTCAATATGTAGCATCTGGGAGACAGACATTTCAGCTCTCAGAACGCCGGTCCGCAAATTACCAGGCAACATGATGCAAGCCCAAAACATCATTTCAAATCCAATATCACTCCTCCCACCTATAGACGAAGCACAAAGTAGCGTTTACTATCTTGTACGCTAGATGTCGCGCAGTCGACAGACCACACGGAGTTTCATGTTGTGCTGCGGCAGTCACGGTCGCCTCGCTGGTGGGTGTGTGTGGTGCAAGTGGTAACACCGTTCGTGATTGTGTCGCGAAAGGGTGCCCACTGGGAAAACGTATATGCATTTCGTACCTATCAGCATGGCGTCATCTGACGTGCTCAGTGGCATGGAAATCAAACCGGAGCTGCAGGAGGTTGAAATAGAATCGATTCCTGTGGAGATGCCGGTGGACTCAGTGGAAGGTACCCAAATGATCGCCTTTCAATCTTTGCACGAGCCTGGAGGCGAAGAAATAATTCTGCAGACACAGGAAGAGATTGTTGGGGACGGCGCAGACGACATAAACTACGATATACCGGTGCCAACAGAAGCAGAACTTGATCTCGACTATGGCACCAACTTTTCGAAGAGAAGCTTGAGCGCTCGTCGGCGACAGACTGCTTTAAAAGCAGCACGATGTAAAAATGATTATACTTATGCGGAGGGATCGTCAAAGAAATGGGAGCAGAAACAAGTTCAGATCAAAACACTGGAGGGTGAATTCAGTGTGACGATGTGGTCTTCTGGCGCCGATGACGGTAAGCCTTCGTGTGTTCTTTGTCCATACGGTCGACGCTGTGGACTCGAAACGTATTCAATCGATTCCAGTACTCCTCTAAGCCTTGCAGCACCTGTGTTGCCCCTGGATCTAAGCTTAATTTGGTTTGTTTATATTTTGGTCGGCCATATACATCAACCCATGGGCGCAGCCATATTCAAAGGCAACATGGCCGAAAACCATCATGGCGGCCACCATGCGTCGCGGCCGCCATTACTAACCATCACGACGGGTGCCAGTCGGTCTTTCACGCTCTTCGTGGTTATGTATCCTTGTTGGGTATGTTTTTTCCTATTTGGCCCAAAATGTATCAAGATTTAAACAAAGGACTTATGGCTTTGCATCCATGCGCTAGCCGTCACATATTTGTCCGCCGCGTGGGTACTTTGCACGTATTTTCTAGAGCTGGGCAAAAAGACTCCCCTTTGCTTGTGGTGTCGAAAAGATGTAAGATTGCCGTGTTCTTAGTGCTTAATGAATATTTCTCGTAATATTTGGGACATTTTTGCATTCAAAACGTTGTTCGACCTTGAACTGGTTGCCAGGATTGCCAAGCTCTCAGAACTTGTTGCGGTTAAATTTTCCCAGCCATGCGCATGCGCAGGACGCCACCGCGTATTGACCTTGGTGGTGGTTCGCCGCCTGGCCGCCAAACCGTGAACTATGCCGTCGCACTGCCACCTAGTGTACCAAATGTAAGTATTTGTTCGCGGATCATGCGTTAGGTGATGTTCATCAGTTGTGGTGCATGTTTGTTGTTGAATTGGTGCTGCGTGCTGTGCTCTCCAGGTCCTGGTGCTGTGCTCCTGCTGTGGGGCAACGCCTGACCGTGGAGCCTGCCTCTGACTACCCATCTGACCAGTGCGTGTTGGTTGCCACCAGATGAATGTTCGAGAGACCCGCTGTCAGTGGATGATGCCAGTACCCCAGAGCCCGACCCCGACTACACCGAGTACATGATGGGCAAGAAGATCCCGGCTGAGGGCATCCCGGGGCTGGATCTATCCGACCCCAAGCAGCTGGCCGAATTCGCGCGCATTAAGCCCAAGAAGCAGACAGATGATGCGCCGCGCACCATTGCCTGTCCACACAAGGTGAGTTCAATACTGAGCAATCCACATGTGGTGAGGTCAATGCCTGGTTGTCCAGACAAGGTTGTGTGTCCTGCATGGCCCCTCATGGACCAGGTGGGATAGTGGAGGGGGCTCAGCAAAGGTCGTTGGAGATGCCAGCCATACATAAACTGCAAAGGTAAGTGGCATACACCAGCTACATTAAGTATCTGCATCTTGTCACATTGGTGTGGTATATCTCTTCCTTTACTGACTGATTTTCAAAACATTGACTGAAAAATGAGAGTTAAAAGGGAGTCGATTCCCCCAGCACCAATCTTGAGAGGAAATGCCAAAGCTCGATGTTGTACAGGGGCTGAAGTCAGTCCTTGACCGTTTGCATAGACTACATGTACTTTTCACCTGTCCACACAAGGCTGCCCAAATGCATGTGGTACTGTTGACCCCTGAAGGCTCTAAGGTCAGCGGTTAGCGTCAGAGGTCAGAGGTCACCGGTAAGAGGCCCCTCGCTCGCCGCCCACGTCTGGCGAGCCGATGCTGACCGGCAGCTGTGCCGCAGGGCTGCTCCAAGATGTTCCGCGACAACTCGGCCATGCGGAAGCACCTGCACACGCACGGACCGCGTGTGCATGTGTGCGCCGAGTGTGGCAAGGCGTTCGTCGAGAGCTCCAAACTGAAGCGGCACCAGCTGGTGCACACCGGGGAGAAGCCGTTCCAGGTGAGCTGGCGCCCGCCACCCGGGACGTCCGGGCGGGGCTGGCGCTCGGTCGGCTGTTCGGGGGGAATGGGCTTCGGATGGCATTGGGCTGTAGAAAATAGACGCTGTTCTAACGTGAGGTAGGGTGTTAGAGACGCGGGGTTTTTGTCGAGGCGTGCGACTGTCGTAAGTCAAAGTAGTTCGGTCAGATCCGCGTTTGTTCTCTGGATATCGTGCAATTAAACATACGAAAATGTGCTGAACTTTGGCACGTGACATGCGGCCATTACGCGCCGCGACCGACGCCCCGTGGTGCCCGCCCTGCAGTGTACATTCGAAGGCTGTGGAAAGCGATTCTCGCTGGACTTCAACCTGCGGACCCATGTGCGCATCCACACTGGCGACCGGCCGTATGTGTGCCCGTTCGATGGGTGCAGCAAGAAGTTCGCCCAGTCCACCAACCTCAAGTCGCACATACTCACCCACGCCAAGGCCAAGTGAGTGGGTGGCAGATGGGACAGGGGTGCGGCCGGACGACGTCCTGCGGATGTCGTCCCGCGCGGGAGGTGGCTGCAAATTTGTTTGATGAAGTGTCGTGTTTGAAGGTTAATAGCATGTGTGGTGGTTGCCGCTGGAGGATTGGGGGATGTGCCACCGAGTCCCAATGTTCTGAAATAGGTTTTCGTTCTCTAGGTTTGGCCATAGGCTGCACTTTTCCCTTTCCAAACGTCACTTTTACGTCAGGTTGTCCCCGCCAGATTCCATCTTGGTGCCTCCATCCTCGATGTGCCCCCAATGTCAGTGACTTGACTAACCTATGATAGCATGTAAAGCCTTATGATCTACACTAACATACAATGGTAGTTTTGCTTGAAGATGAATGAGCAGGTTGTCTATGCTGGCTTACAAAGTTCTTCCCAGTTACGTGGAAATTTAAGGTGCCAAAATTGACTCCCTGTGTGTGCATTGTTTTCCTCCCTGTTAATAGGGAGAACCTCTATTTTGCCTCATTGTGGCTTCAGATATATGTGACAGTTGGATAATCAAAGATTTGTTAACATATGTAATTTCCGGTAACGGCTTTACGAATGTGCTCTGTTATATGGGTTGTCGAATTGCAGTGGAAGAAACAACCCGAACCGGCAAAACATGGATCCGATGGCACATATGTCGGACATGGACGACTCCACGCAGTACGTCCAGGTGGAGGTCACCAACCTGGTGTACAGCGAGTGAAGTCGAGCCTTCCGCTCGCGTCGACAGATGGCTCGCCAGTCGGACCGAGCTGTGCCAGCTCCGGCGCGGAGTCTGTGCTGGTCCCAGTGTCTCCGTGTCGTCCGGCGGCCCAGCAGCTTCACCGGCCTTACTCGTGTACAATGACGCGGCGTGTGGGCACCGGTTGCGGCGCCGGCGGTCGGAACGTCTCGCGAGAGCTGCTCGCCGCGTGGTGTCACGCCGTGCGCCGGCGCGTGTGCGTGACCGCGTTTTGGACCAGTCGTCTGCGTGCTCACCCCATCCGCTGAGTGTGTGCATATGCGTGTGCGTGGCTGCGTGCGCGCGCGTTTTGTTCGTTTTGTTCTCATCCGCGCTGGCCCGATGCCAGTCCGCAGGTGGGGCCATTCCAGTGATGTTGGACTGGGTGGCGGCCCGCGGCGTCAGGCATGACGGCGTGCCCGCCGGGCCCGAGTCCGCCGCCGCCGCCGCCGCCGGCGCCGCTGCGGACGCCAGCCGAGCTCGAGCGGCAGTGATAGCCGCGCGCGCGCCCCCGATCTCGCCTGAGCGCCGTCGCGGCGCATGCGCAGTGGAGCCCGACCGGAGGCCGCACGCGCAGCGTACAAAGCTAGCGGGGCGGCCAGCGCAGCTGTGGGGATGCCCGCGCGGGAGCGAGTGGTGCCGTGTGTGACGAACGGTCGACTTTCAGTGATATGTTCTGTAACAGGACGCCTGTGAAGTGCTGTACATTGTACAATATAGCGCCAAACCCGTGCTCGCTCCTCGCAGTCGTCGCGGCGTCACGCCACGTGACGGGTCGTTGTGCCGAGCACGCGGGTTGCCAGCGGCCGGGTCTGAGCTCAGTGGCCGGCCGTGTTTGAGGTGGCGCTTGCCCCCCCCCCCCCCCCCCCCGACGGCAGCGGTCCTTCTTGCTGCTGTCCGGCTATCGCCACAGGGACCAGCGGGAAGGCGTGTCGACCGTCGCCGAGATCGGGGCGGAGGCCGGACAACAGCCCGTCGCCGAGATCGAGGCAGATGCCGGACAACAGACCGTCGCCGAGGTCGGGGCAGAGGCCTGACAACAGACCGTCGCCGAGATCGGGGCAGATGCCGGACAACAGACCGTCGCCGAGATCGAGGCAGAGGCCGGACAACAGTTGGCTGTCCCGAGATCCCAGCTGATCGTCAGCGACGGGCGTGGCCCTCTCAGCTCAGGCGTCCACACCTACGTGGAGGACTGGCCCAACCACTCAATCGCAGCAGACGCGAAGGCATTAAGTAGATGCATTTTGTGACCAGCACCAACCACCGCGGGCGCTATATACACCATGTAAGTAAAATGTGTCGCGTAAAGTAACAACACTCCCATCCTCCAACTCCGTGCGAAAGTCGTGAGAGGGCACCCAGCACGCATGACCTAGATCACAACGCACGAGAGCGGATAATCACGATCGCACGTCCGGAGATCGACGGCCTCAGACAGCAACTCGTACGGAAATCAAGAGCACTTCTGTCGCCTTCCACCCTCATCGTTTGGCTTAGTTCCCAGACAGGCACCGACACGGCCGAGGTGAGCAGTATTGCACGGATGTGATTCGCGACAATCGCGCTACGGTGAGACCCATGGCCTACCGGAGCGTTCGATTCCGCGCGTGTCACCGAATCCCCGCTGGAAGTATGGCTGACGCCGACCGGCCGGTGCAGCATCACCAGAGCACCAGGCAACAAGAGCCCGCAACGACGGCACCACGCATGCTCTCACCAGACGGCGGCGCGCGGATAAACAAGGCCACCACATCCGACGGGGGCAGAGGCAGACCCACGGCCCGGGCCGCGACGCCACACACAGCGCTAGATACTAGCAAGACCTGCCACAGTGCCCGCCTCTAAAACATATCACATATGCGGCCCCGGCACCCAAAAGCACGCGTACAAGGGGGGAGAGGGGGGGGGGGGGGCACCACCCGTGCACTTCACGGCTGGATAGTCGTCGGGGGACGCACTCCAGCCCCCTTCCCCTCAGAAGAGCCCGCACCAATCACCTAAAACCGGCATACACTCACGTCAGATGAGGGCCGGAGAGGCGGGAGCTTGCCCCGCGTGGAGCAGCTATTTCTCAATTTCACGCAGTCGGGCGAACCCAGTCACCCTTGGTGAGGTAGCAGCTCCACGTGGCTCGGCGGTTCGGTCCTACCCGTGGCAGCTCCACCCAGTCTGGTCCAGCACCGGCGCTGGCAGGGAGCTATGCGGTCCCGCTGGTAGGGAGCTGTGCGGTCCGCGGCGTGGCAAACAGCGCCGACCGCTCTTCCTCGGGGAGCACGCCGCTCCTGACCTCTGTCCATTGGTCCCACATACTGACCGCCAGCACGCTGGCCACGGCGACGCCGGCCGGTCCGTTTGTGACTTCGGCGCCACTCCACGCCGGGCCGGCCGGGCCGCTGGGCGGGCGCTCACCGGCTGCCTCCTCCAGCGCCTGGCGCAGCCTGCTGCCGTGCGCGCCACTCCGCCGCCATTAGGCGCCGCCTCGAGACGGCCCGGCGTGACGCCCGTCCACCCCGCGCGCACCGCGCGGTACCGACCGTCCTCGGACGCGCGCGGGCGGGCGGCCCCGCGCCACGGCCGGCGCGAGCGCGTCACGCAGCACGTACCCGTGTCCGCCCCGGCGCCGGCGCCGCGGTCAGTCAGCGTCCGCGCCGGCAGGCGGCGCTAGTGGTGGTGGTTCAGCGACAGCAGCACTGGCATAAGGCAGCCGGCGATCATGCACAGCAGCTCCGAGACGGAGAAGTGCTTCTGGTCGCCGCGTGAGATCACCTCCGGCAGCACGTGCACGGTCGACACGTAGAGGAACGTGCCGGCGCTGAAGAGCAGGCACAGGCCCGTGGCGCTCGTGCCGGCCAGCGCCTCGCCGCCGCCCTGCCGGACACGACCACGTGGTAGAGCGCGGAGCGGCCACGGAAACACGTGACACTGTCGAGTGAGGGCTGTCGAGCGTGTAGCCGACAGCACACCTGGGAGGCTCAGGAACACCAGCTGGCAACACAATGGCATGCCATGTAGCAAGGACTACCCGGCAGCAAAAACAGCGAGGCTCGGCACAACACGGGGCTGCCAGCGCGGTGCTGGGGCTGGGGCGCCACAACCGGGACCATGGCAGCCGACAAAGGGAATTGACACCGGGAATTCATCGGGCAAAGAGCTCACCACAACTAACGCGTGGTCAGCGCAAAGTCCAGTAGTCGTGGGTGATCGCTCCCTTCCAAAAGACTCGGTGGCACTGAGTGAATCGATGCAACAAATTGAATTGTGTGGTCCATGAGTCGACTCAAATATACATATATAAAAGATGCCGTCACCCGACGGACCTATACGACAAAAAGTTAACTTCGACATACTGCTGAATCATTACAAAGGTAGCCACCCTTGGCGTAAATGGCGTGAAATTATCAGCGTGCGCCCTCGCACTGGTTTGGTTAGCCTCATACCACACAAAGGAGATGATTTTTTTTTCAGACGTCGTCACTAAGACTTGCTCGGAATGCATCGCAATTTAATGACCCAGTTCCGATTTCCGCATTCGGCAACGCATCATTGAGTTAAAGGCGAAACTAACCAAATATATGTTCTGCTGCCAGCAGTCAGTCATTATCCATAATGACCATGCATGCATCAATGAAGCACATCAAATAAATCAATAAGCGATGTAAAATATTGCATGCATTGCGTGCCTCACATATTTACAACGCATAAGCGTCATTATCATAAAAGATCGTAAGATTCCCATCGGACCAGGAATCGACTCCACTGAGGCGAATCCGGCGCCGGCACGACTGGAGAGCGCGGCGTAGAAGGTGCAGCCGCGGGGCACGCCAGCCTCCAGTCCGCACAGCATCAGCCTTTCCCACTATAGTGTACTCGCTTACGGCACCAGATCTCCCCGGCACGCCCTCCCCTGCGAGCGAACGTCAGCTGGCTGTCGGCACAGCGGCGGCGCCGCTGCGCCAACGCCGCACAACGGCCGGCAAAGCGCCTGCCCGAGCGGAGGCCGCGCGCCGCCGGGCGCCCTCCTCCGGCGGACGTCGGAGCGCGACGCCGGCCCGGGCGGCGACAGCGCACCTTCCCGATGCTGAAGAACGTGACGAGCGCCATCAACGGCGCCGCCACTGAGAACACCAGCAGGTGGCGCCGCACGCGCGTCCGCTCCAGCCCCTCGTGCAGCAGGAACGTGACCAGGCCGAAGGCGGCCGGCGCCTGCGTGGGGAGGCCCTCGGGTCAGCGTCGGCGCGGGGGACAGACGGTCAGGTCAGGTCACCGTCGTACAGCGCGGTGAGCGGCACGTGACGGGTCCCACGGGTGTGAGCCTGCTCTGCTGCACGGCGGAGGTCTTGTTCACGGCACCCCGCGCGCTCACATACGAGACAGAACAATGATAGTGTTTGGGCCCTTCAAAAAATATGGAGGCCACTTTCGGTTGAGGTGCACGATATAGGTGAAACATAATGTTGGTTCAAGGCTTTCAAAAGACCTGCAGTCACTGAATCGTGCGACACATGCTGTGCAAAAGGCAAACAAAACAGAAAACTAGTACCGGCCCACCGTTGGCTCAATCCATTTCTGAGAATACATCGCAAACAAAGCGGGAAATAACTAACCGCTTTACAACTGTAGGGTACCCCAGAACCACCCACGAAAGTCAATCCCTTAAAACGAGGCCTGTCACACGCTGTAACGGCCTCGCAGACGTCGCGCAGAGCCAGAAAGCGCGGCCGCCCGACAGCGTCCCACCTTGTGCAGCATGATGGCCACGAAGACGATCAGCTCCACGTCGGTGCGGGAGGAGGCGACGGCGGCGCCCAGGGCGACACCATCGGCGGCCGCGTGAACCACCAGGCCCACCGTGGCCGTCACGTTCTGGCCGGCCCGGTGCACCACGTGACCTTCAGGGTCTGTCGGCACGCGTCGGGTGGGCCTCGGTCACGTGACGCCAGGCAAGAGAAACGGCGAAGCACTACAGCAGCTGTCTTGCGCCCGTTTTTTCGCAGCTGCTGAGGTGAGGGGGGAGGGGGGCATCGATCGCAAAGCTCTGTGTAAGCGTGACGAGACACACTATCCCGGGTAGCTTCATGGCCTAACGCCTACATGCCACGTGACTGACACGCGCGACCCGCAAATCGTACCGCTCAGGGCGGCTTTGAGGGGCGTCACAACGGCCTCCTTTCACCAATCGCCAATGGCCGGGCCTGACCAGATCCGTTATTCACTGGTAACCTGTTCGCTGCTGAGGTGGAGTGCGCACGCGACACTCACTGGTAATCCTGTAAGCTGCTGTTCGATGGTGTGTAGACACGACACTCACTAGCAACCTGTTGACGCCTGTGGTATGTGACCATGAAACTCACCTGTTCAATGATGTGATGGGTGCACGCGACACTCATTAGTGACTTGTTCAC